TGTCTGTCTGTCTGTCTGTCTGTCTGTCTAGCTATCTATCTGTCTGCCTGTCTGTCTGTATCTGTCTGTCTGTATCTGTCTATATCTATCTGTCTGTCTGTCTGTATCTGTCTGTCTGTCTGTCTGTATCTATCTGTCTGTCTGTCTGTCTGTCTGTCTGTCAGATACAGACAGACAGACAGACAGACAGACAGACAGACAGACAGACAGACAGAGACAGACAGACAGACAGACAGATAGATAGATAGATAGATAGATAGATAGATAGATAGATAGATAGATAGATAGATAGACAGACAGACAGACAGACAGACAGACAGACAGACAGACAGACAGACAGACAGATAGATAGATAAGAACATTCTAAAAGACTGGATAACCATCCTATCTCTTGTGCTTCAGTCTGAGGGTGAGAGTACTTTTTTGTGGGCTCCAGACGTGCCCTGTGTATGGCCTGGACGAAAGCAGCTGTACAAAAACATTTTGTCATTACATTTGATATAGTACAATATATTACATTATACAACCATTAAACCCATTCACCCAAACAGTAAATACAGTTAATGGTAATAACAATCACTTTACCACCACAGAAGAACGAATTAAAAATGAAAACATTTAACATATGGATTTAACATATACAGACAGACATAATCTTAGTTAATGTTAATTTACTAAAACGTTATTTAAAGAAATCAAAGTTGTATCTATTAATATTATTTAATGGGCCTGAACTAACAATGTTAATTGCTAGTTAATGCATTAACTCACACTGACTTATAGGACCTTATTGTAAAGTGTTACCTATTTATTTATAAATCCATACATGTAAAAACAAACGATACATTTAAAAAGCTTATTTTGATGAATCTGCAAAATTGCACAGCTTTTGCTGCTAAATCTAACCAAAAAAAAACTTTTTGTTGTTTTGTAATTTTTGTATTTTATATGTGCACACCCCATAGTGGATTCATTCCCAATTTACATATTATAGTATCCCAGATTACTACGCATATACTTGGCCACCACCAGTGCAGTAAAAAATAAAAAATAAAAAAAAATTCTTCCATAATCATCCTAATCATCTCTTTTGTGCAACATTTCAGATTGTCTCAGATCGCAGTGACAGAAGATTACATTTTCCGTGGCACAACTCTGAAATCACTAAATACATGGACGCTGCATGGCGGTTGAAGGAGCAGACACAAAATTTGGAATGACAGTTTGAGCTATATTTTCCTGATGCCATATACACCACATACACTAATGCAAATAAATAAGTTAGCACCTGTGAGAATTGCAAAGTGGGCATTCTTTGTTATAACAAATAAACACAATAAATGCGTAAGTACAAATACATTCAGAGAACACTCACTAATACAGAGAAGGTAAGGTTGGGTTTGCACAGAGGCTGCAGGTCTCAAAATCCCATGAGCTGCCCACCTAGACAGTGTTTTTACCATTTTGCAAGGCAGGTCATTCGATTTTAAGACACAACTGGGGTGTTTAGAAATTCAGTCGTGTATCTAGAGATATGTTAAAGTGGGTCAAATGGCCACCATTCATCACCATGACTGTGACTGCTCCTGTCCAGCAGAATCTCTGCATAGTAAGCAAAAGAGATTAGCTCATAACTAATCGATCTTAGATAATGTCATATTATACAGATGTAGGATTCACACAGCTTGCTTTGCAAATGTGCCTTTTTCACAAGAAAAATCCATAACTGTGACCATAATCCACTGGTGGTTTATTGGAAAATATTACACATAATATATCGGCCACTCAGGTCAAAATGTATTGCATTACTTCAACCAAAATAAATTCCCTTTATATGAAGATGCAGTAATATTTTTGTTGTTTCTTTCTTACAGAAATGCACTGAATTACTCACTATCTCATGTACTCATTTTTGGTAAAAAAAAATAAAATGAGGACTTAAAGGGATAGTTCACCCTAAAATGAAAATGCTGTCATAATTTACTTACACTCATGTTGTTCCAAACCTGTATGAATTTATTTCGTCTGCTGAACTCAAAAGATGATATATTGAAGAATGTGGGTTTCCAAAAAGTTACTGGTAGCCATTGACTTTCACTATATTGTTTCCCCATATCACGGAAGCCAATGGCTACCAGCAAATGTTTGGTTACCAACATTCTTCAAAATATCTTCTTTTGTATTCAACAAAAGAAACACATTCAGGATTGGAGCAACATGAGAGTGAGTAAACGATGACAAAATATTCATTTTTGGGTGAGCTATCACCTTAATGTTATGTAGGAATGAAAGGATGTATCCCTAGATAATGTACAATAAATACATCTCAAAGTAGAGCTTTTTGTTTCTTTTTTTTTATATTTTGATTTTGATTCATAAAAACATTTAGTGCTCATTGTGTGGTCTGACACATTTTTTTTAAGATAAAGTTTCAAGAGATTTAAAGCCTAAAGCAGAAGCTAATGTTAGACTGTTGTATGTAAATAATATAAATTTATTATATTAGTATAATGTACATGTACATATATTACAGTAGGTTCTGTACTTATGTAATATATAATTTGGTCATTGGATATCACTATGAATTCAAGACCTTCTCTCTCATCCCTCTCTAGAGAAGTCAACTACTTTCTAGCCAAAAGTCTCATTCCATTATAGCCTCTAAATAATCATTATCTGAGTCATCAAAACATCTTTCCTCTCCTATGAATGGTGAATGAATGAATTTGTGATCTTTTTAGTCTACATTAGCCATTGTATTAAGTATTTAGCTGAGGTGAGCATTACTTACAATTAGTGTTCCTAGTATCTACCGTTTCCAAATGCAGCCCTCCTGAACCTAAAAGAAACCTAAAAGATAGTTTTGAAACCATACATACCAACTTAACAGTATAATGTGACACGTTATATTAATTTATCTTTTTTATGAACATCACATCTCTCTCTGTAAGTGTGTGTGCTAGATATCAAAACATTATCCAAAACGGTTATGCCACATTAAATTAGGATCTCTACCTGCAAAGCTTTTCATCTTTTCTGTTTCTTATTTTAAGATAATCAAATAATGCGTATCTGTAAGAAGTTAAAGACCCCACTCAGCATCAAGGTGAGAGACTTGGAGGTCTTAACATGTCCTTTCAACCTCAATCAATTTGTCAGCAAAGGGTAGAAGGGGGCGACTGTCTAAACTGATATCTCAAGTCAGCACCAATATGCTGTATCTGACAAGGAAATGTATTTCTCTGCAACATTTAGACGCTCAATAAGTCTTAAAAGGTTAATTAGAATTCTTCCTAGTTTCCACTCCACTCATTCTGATCCAAATGATCAGAAAAGTTATTTTGCTCCTCGATGACAGCGCAGTTGCAGGATTTGATGTAATTTATTGAAGTGTGTAGTGCTAACACCTCTTTCATCAGTATAGCCACTGTAGGGCTACACTGTGTAGTACTTCAGTGAACACACAGCAACTCCTTTTATCACTCTTCTCTCGTTCTTTTCTGCTTGTATGTATCAAAGTGTAGCCAACTAAGAACACCAGTAGCATGTTCAACTTTTAGCTTTTAGCAGGTACAGCACCTATTTTGTAGTAACATATCCCAACTGAATTGTTAGCAGGTAAAGACCACCATGTGAAAGCTGGCCTTTTAGTGATTTAGTGTTCTACAGACAAATAACACAAATCCCAAAATTCCGAAAATATTATGGAATTTAAAAATGTTGATTTCACTGGATAGATATTGCGTTGTGTGAGTCCTTGTGTAGAGTGAAACATCCTCACAAGCAAACTAGCATAACATCTGTCCACTGAGTGTGCTGCTGGTGTGATTCATTGGCTGGCTAATTTGACTAGCTAATAACGGTCTTCTATGGGACACAAAGTGGTCTGGGACACAAAGGGGGCATGAAAAATGCTGAATCATCCAGTGAGTCACATTCCATTCGCTAAATGTTTTGTTGTTGTTGTTGTTTTTGCTTATTGAGGACATTAATCATAATTTGCTTGTACTAGTGCAAGTATAATTGTTTCAATGTATTCATTTCAAGAATTAGAAACTGCAAACAAATGGAAATCCACACCAGATAAAATGTAGAATAAAATATGCTACTGTCCTATAGTTTGGGGTCAGTAAGAGTTTCTTTTTTAAAGTAATGAATACTTTTATTTAGCATAGATTCATTAAATTAATCAAAAATGATAGCAAAGACAATTATAATGTTACAAAAGATTTCTGTTTCAAATGAATGCTGTTCTTATTAACTTTATATTCATCAAAGAATCCTGAAAAATTGTATTATGGTTTCCACAAAAAATGTTAAGCAAGCAACCGTTTCTCCATTGATAATAGTAAGAAATGGTACTCAAGCACCAAATCAGCATATTAGAATGATTTCTGAAGGATCATGTGACACTGAAGACCAGAGAAATGGCTGCTGAAAATTCAGCTTCGCCATCAATAAATTACATTTGAAAACATATTAAAATGAAAGACACTTATTTTAAATTGTAATAATATTACTGTTTTTGATCAAATAAATGCAGCCTTGGTGAGCATAGGAGACTTTTTTTCAAAAATAATAAATAATCTTATACAAGGGGTCCAGGGTTGGCTCATGTATCATGTCATAACTATATCAACTGCACATACAACTCTTTCTCTGTTGTTGGCCAAAAGTGAATATCATCAGGTGTCCGGGTATCAACATATGTAGGGATTTTGACATCAGAAAGCTTGAAAACTCTTATTATTTTATGTGCATTTAGCATTGTTTTCCCTACTGTCCATTACTGTGTCACGACCCACCAGTTGATCCCTACTAATCTAGTGCACTTTCAATGAGCCACAATTCCTTATCTGAAGAAGCCTCAAAAAATAAATCAGCTAAACTGTAGTGAGTCACTGTAACATGTGGAAAATGTTCTCACAGCTAGAAATGTGTCACAGACTCATATTCAGTTTCTACTGGTTACAAACATCACAGCATTCTCACTGGGCTCATCTTTCAACATATCAGATCGTATATTTACACACTGGGACATGTGCTGTTTTACAACTGTATACCACTGGGTGTTTTCTTTCTCACTATGAGCAGCTTGTTTCTTTTTTAAGTGTGAAAAAAAAGAATTATAATACAAATGTCTTAAAAGCTAGCATGTTTCTGTACTCTTATGTGTATCGGTGCCTCTGAGCAACTGACACAGATCTCCACGGCCCACTGTAGTTATGAACCCAGGCAGGCTGAGCAGCATCAGATTGTGTCTGGGATGATTAGTTCATCTTACGTGACTCTGGTCAGCAAGCACTGACAGAGTCTGGCTGTATGGCATCATCTCTGTCTGGATGGAAATTGCAAAGGTGAGGGATGCCGACTGTACCTGAAAGCTAATATGCTGTAACTGTGGCCAGAATAACACATTAAACTGACTTAAGAATGGCTTTAGATGGTTATGCAGTTAAAAGAAGGACTATTCTAATCCTTTAGTGAACCTATATTTTGTTCATCTACAATTGCATCCTGATGTTTTGAACCATTCTCTGAGACTGAGAATGTCAGGAAAATGTTATATAATCGGAACATTCTGCTAACGTTTTTCAGTGTTTGTATAAAAAATGTTCATAAAACATTTAAAAAAATCTACGTTTTGAACGTAAGTGAATTCAAAAGGTAAATTCACTTATTTTCAACCAGCTTTATATTGTTACAGTGTCAGTAGTATAATAAATGAACAATATATATTATTTTTCTGTAACCTGCACCAAGATATCAACATTTATTTGTCAGCAAAAGTACTAAAGCTGTCAATTGCAAGATGTAAACTCCTAGCACAGATTTAAAAAAAAAAGTGCATAGACAGACAACTTAAAATCCCATTTAATGGGAACATTAGGAAACGTTCTTTAAAGGGGTCATATGATGCTGCTAAAAAGAACATTATTTTGTGTATTTGGTGGAATGAAATGTTTATGCGGTTTAAAGTTTTAAAAAACATTATTTTCCACATACTGTACATTATTGTTTCTCCTCTATGCCCCTCCTTTTTGAAACGCGTCGATTTTTACAAAGTTCATCGGTCTGAAAAGCGAGGTGTGCTGTGATTGGCCAGCTATCCAGTGCGTTATGATTGGCCGAATACCTCAAGCGTGTGACGGAAATGTTACGCCCCTACCATACTGTTGATGCCGTGTCCCGGCCGGAGTGACGAGACAAAAACATTAAA